CCTTACTCATTCACAAGGGGGGGGGGGGGGCGCATCTGGAAGCCCCTTAATTAGAGGGGTACCCCGATGCAAATAGCCCCCCTGCCCGCAGGCCCCCACAACCCACGGTTCAGGGCTTGTGGGAAAGAGGATCTTGTTAAATGCCTTGCTAATGCTCTAGAGAGCATTGAACGAGCTTTAAAAGGTGGTTCAATAGACTTTAATGGAGGCACTATTCCAGCGGCAATGCCTCTAGAAAGCGACATGCACTCTCAAACGCTTGGTTTTGACACACGTGTGAAAGAGCCCTTACTGACTTTCCTTTTTTTGGCAAACATCCAGGTAACAAACTTACAGGGTTATTCACAAAAGGGTGAATAGTTTGGAGAAGGCAGAAGAAGTGAACAATCTGGGACAACATAGCTGAACTGGAAAGTGGGCTGAATTGGAGAATTTATCCAAATCGGCTATTTTGGCATAAATTTCTCAGTTTTCCTGCCTTCTCTAAACTCTTCACCCTTTTGTGAATAACCCTGTTACTGAAAATAATTAGTTCCCTTACATTTACTGTTTCCAATGTATTATCAGATTGTTTCTTTAGAATCATTTCTAAACAATCCTGTTTTTTTTTCTTAAAGCAATACATTCAATGAGAATGCGACCTATTAAGCCATTCTGAACAGTGTAACCATGTGGCTAGCATTGCTTAAGCTGTTTGTGGGGTTTGCATATTCTCCTCATGTTTATGTGGGATTATTGCACACACACGGTCCCTACTGTGTGCAAGTGTATGTTTAACTGTGGCTGGGACATTTATTGTATGTTGGGGATTAGTGCCCATGGGAAATAGTTCAGTGTTCTCTGTAACCAACTGAAAAAATATTCCATTGCTGTTTTATACAGGTGTACATTAAAAAAACTGCTGCATGTTGCTGAAGTTTAATATTATGAAGTGATTTTCACTTATGACATGTTATACAACTTTTGCCCTCCTAGGTCTCCACGATCATCCTACTTAGATGAAGATTATGATTCTTTAGCAGTGTGTGATCCTATGCAGAGAATAAACTGTGAGGTTGACAGCCTTCCTGAGAGCTGCATAGACAGTGGTCTATCCACTCTTAGAGACTCCAATGAGTATGATTCTGAAGTGGAGTACAGGGCACCAAGGAACTTCCACAGATCAAGGTTTCCACTTGAGAGCTATGGCGGGGATGCTTCAGATACAGATGTGAGTATCATTATACTGTTTCCAGCATGTCCTGTGATAAGTTGGCAATGTAGACTGGCACTTATAGTTGCACAGAGTTTGAAAATCACAGTTCCTAGTGGTGCTTGTATGTGTTTGGAGGCCAGGAGATGGGGAACGCACATATACATAAAACTTTGGTGAGGGGGACTTAAGAAATACAACATAAAAAAAGCAATTTTCAGCATTTTTTACCTTATTGCATCCTAAAAGAGAACTATGGCCAAACCTTTTTTTGCCATAGTTGCCTTCAGGGTCACAGAAGGACATTATTAAAACTCAGCATATAGTGGGCTATTGCTCACTATATTCTGACAGCGCAGAGCCACGCTGCGGCCGGGAAAGATCCCGACAATATTGTCGGGATCCAACCCACTGCCTGACAGCTGGCTCTGCTTCTCTAGAAACAGAAACAGTTGTACCTGCTCCCTCCTCTGTCTGTCCCACCAGTCAGCGCTGAAGGAACGGGAAGGGGGGGAATCCCTGTGGGGAGTGGTGACCGACAGTCACCTCTCTCTGCAGCGAGATGATCGGGAACTGAGCAATCGGCGGTATGTTATCACTCAGTTCTCGATCAATAGAGCCGACCTGTGACAGCTTCAGTGTCACATGTTGGCTCTAATTATGGGGTTGAGTGTATTTCACTCTCCCAATAATTTTCCTTCAATATTTGAAAAGTATTCTATTTGAAAAGTATTGGATCTGGAGCTTTCAGTCTACCCATGGCCATGCCTCTCCCTTTATCTTTTGTCTGTAATTGCACGTCCAGCCCCATAGACACTAGCTGTCATCAGACACCACTCTTTTTTGTAAACTAAGACATGAATGCACAGATTTGCACAGGACCTTATTGCAGTCTTCAAAATCATCAATTGGGACAACAATATTCGGAACAAGTTGTTTTCACCAAGGACAGTACTGAGAAGAGATTAGAAGAAAGGGGGTTCAATTTTAGATCACGCAAGGGGTTTTTTACTCTGCGAGTAGTAAAAATTTGGAATTCCCTCCACAAGCTGTGGTATCCGCTGAGAACGTAGAAAAGTTAAAGAAACTTTTCGATGAGTTTTTCAGTCACTAAATATACAAGGATATGGGAAGTGTTAAATACACATAAATACAAAAGCATATACACACACATCGGTTGAACTCGATGGACCTTGGTCTTTATTCCATCACACCTACTATGTTACCTAACCCCTGAACGTTAACCTAGAAGCTTTCTCCTAGATAACCCTCCAAAAAAGCAACACTTGAATTGTCAGACGGTTATTATCCTATTAGGCCAGTACCTTTTAGTGCTTATGCTAATTTGTAACAGCAGGGGTTCTTTGCAGGGGCCCTGAAATAATGAACCTTAAAATTGCATGCCATCTATTAAAATGACATAGGACACCATATAATTGTCAGGTAGCCCTGTCATCATGAAAATTGGATTTTTCATTTTGCCCTGCTATACTGCTGTACTGTTCCCAATATTTTCCTTAAAGGTTATTAGTAAAGGTAAGTGGCCACAATTATAGTCTGGATTAATGTGAATACATTTAAGCTCATTGACTATATCAGGTGGCAGTGAAATTAAATATTACAGTAAGGTGACAATAACTGTTTAACATTTTCTGTATTGTTTTTTTAAGACGATACCAAGTTTTAATCCTGCTTTGTAGTGACTAAAGCTGCCATCCAAAAAAATAAATAATCCAATTAGCTTTCCTTTGGCTTTAGGTGCCAGAAATCCGAGATGAAGAGTCATATGCCCCTGAATCTGCTGGGTCATTTCTTGACTGGAAACCCTCACGACCGGTCAGTAGGAGCAGTTCAGGATCCTCATCGAGAAAGTGCATCTCAGCACTGTCTGCACATGCAACACAAGTAAGCAGAATTAATTTTTAACTTTTCACATTTACACGGAAACATTATTTTAATTATTCTTATTATGCAGGATTTATATAACACACACAGTTTGTGCAGCGCTTTACAATACTGTATAAGGAGGACATTACAGTTGCAGTACAAATCAAGACAAGATGGTAAAGAGGGCCAAACATGATGGAAAATGGCTCTTTTAAGAACTGCAAACACATGTCTAAAGCTGGTTAATCTGTCATATAGTGCTAGGTCAAATCAGGTTCACTTCCAGGTCTGATACCACTGCTATATTCCGTCTTGTTAGAGAGATGCTGAACTCACAATCTATGATTTCTCCAATTAGCTTGTCTCTAATTTTGTACAGATTACAGGCAGTCCCCGGGCTACGAACAAGATAGGGACTGTAGGTTTGTTCTTAAGTTGAATTTGTATGTAAGTTGGAACAGGCAAATTTTGGGGGGGTTTTGGATAGGGAAGGGTTAACCACCTGTATAGTTTGTTTTGCTGTGTGCGCCCATGTTCAGAAGATTTCCCCTCACTTTCAGTCCCTGAGACAATTGGATTTTAAAAATGTTGGGTTGTTGTGGAAACAAGGATTGGTGATAAAGCTTCAGTGGAGACACCTTTTTCCCCATCATCACTCTTACAGGAGGGAATTTCCCTTCCTAGGGGTAGATTTCCTTTCACTTCTTGTTGTCTCAAGGACAGGAAGTAAGATTAAATCTTTTTAATGAGGATACAGACAGCAGTAAAAACCTCACCGCGAGGTGACCACCGGAAGAAGAGGTGGTCACCTGTAATGTACGTACAGTACTACGAACCAGATGCAAAAAAGTGGGCACCCCTCATCGGCATGAGTGCGGTAGCATTAGAACTACCCCTGCTGTACAGTAATAGCCTCCGTTTGTAAGTAGGAGTCGTATGTAAGTCGGATGTATGTAACCCGGGGACTGCCTGTAGTTTGTATATAAATCTCTACATGTGTTTCATATATTTTTATCAAAGAAGTGAAGAATGGTTTAGTAAACCACAACTTATTTTATTAAATGCATGATGGTTTGCCATTGGCCAATTTCTGCTCAATTTAATCCCACTCTTCGATACTGGTTTGAAAGGTTTTTAGTGACCTGTATCAAGATTTGAGCTTTAGGTTGTAGAATCACATATTTGGTGTTCTTTTTATAGCCCACTAAGGCTACTTATGAATTGATATCCCACCAAGAACACTAGACAATGCGAAATCTGCCTTTCCTTGAATCCGTTGGGCTCACTATTATATATAATTTATTACTCAGACATATGCAGTAGAGGTGTGTTATTTTAAATTCTTCCTATAGAAAACAGATTTTTGCCTGTTGCACAGAGATTGTCTTACTCCTCTCCACCTGCACCTGTCTGCTTTATTCTATTATTTTCTGATAATTGGTTTAAAAAAATACAATCCTTCCATATAATAAAAATATATATTTTTTAGGTAGATGCTGAGGACAGAGTGAGCAAGTTTCCCAGCACAGGGAAAGCATACAAGATCGTCCTTGCTGGAGATGCTGCTGTTGGGAAGTCTAGTTTTCTCATGAGACTTTGTAAAAATGAATTTCGAGGCAACACAAGTGCTACTTTGGGTATGTCAAAACATATTTACATTGTTTAAATGTATTTACATTGTATATAATACAAAAAAAGAATGTTGCAATGATAAAAATGTTTAGAGATAAAGGTAAACTCTGTAGATTATCAGGAAGGTCATGGTGGCATTATGTGAAGTACTGCATGCATTACTTAACTAGTTTCAAGCTAGATTATAAATTGGTTGTTCGGATCTTATACTGTGAATTAAAGTGCTTTTCATTTATCCTTTTCATTGCCATAATTATTTGTTTGTTTCTTTGTAAACTTTAAAATATAAATTATCTGTAGCCTCCACATAGTTTAGTCTTTATCCAGCAAAATTCAAAACTGTTGGCATGTATTAATCTAACAGTATTACCTTTATTTGTTTATCCCTGTAGATTATTTCCCCTTCAGGTTATACAACAGCTCTCCTGGCTAATCCATTATTTTCCAGACTAAATTTTATGTTCAATATTTTAGCACTGTCATGATTTAAGGGAAACTACTAAAATTATAGAATAACCACACCTATTTTTGTGTTTGAAATAGGAGTGGATTTTCAAATGAAGACACTTGTAGTAGATGGAGAGCCAACGTTATTGCAGCTTTGGGATACAGCAGGCCAGGAAAGGTATGGAATTTAACATTTTTGCACTGTATGATCATACTTCAATAATGAATAGGTATACACAAAAATGATTAAACTAAATTCAGAAAACTGTCAAATCCATCCCTTCAGTGTATCTGACAATCACACACTGAGCATTGATGTTTGCAAAGATAACGCCTACAAATGATGAAATAACTACTCATAGCAGTCATCTAATTTGCGTACTCAACAGGAAGATATGAAATATCTGGTAGTTCCATGGTGCAGGGGAAGTCAAACAGCACGGTTAGATTTAAATCAGATTTCAATCAACACAGAACAAAAAAAAGTGCATCATAAACAGAAAATAACATACATCCTGAACATTATACAGATAAAAGCTTTAAACAAGCACAGCATTAGACAATCAATACAATAAATATACAGGTATCTTACAAGCATGAACATATTACAAGAGTGTCCTTACAAAGGTCCCAGAGCAGACACGGTCAGCCTTGAAGTAATAATAAACCGAAGATATCAAGCAATAGTATGTTGTTTACTGGGTCTTTATTTCTCCCAACCAACAGCACTGCCCTAAACAGGCACTATTCAAGGCTGTGATTCACTAATGAACTAACTCAATGGGGAGAGCTGTGGGGAAGGGGTTTGGCCCAAAGAAATTATCAATCCTTTCAAGCCATAGGGACCATATATTCTGAAATTTCAGCAGGCAGCCCCTGTCGGTGTAAGTCAGCTTTTCCAATGAGAGTACATAACTCTCATAGAAAGAGACTGAATACTGTGTTTAGTGTAGAAAACACTTAGAGGGTTATTCACAAAGCTGCCAAAGGCAGCTGAGTGAGTATCCGACTCAAAGTGAACAGAGCTGAACAATGTTCGGCTATTCATTTCAGCTCAGTACAGCTGAGCCGAAGTGCAGAAGGCGTTAAACTCAGCCGATCCAACATCTGGAATGGCAGTGAGTGAATAGCCGAATGCCCCGAGCGAGTATGAGAATAGTGGCGAACTGCAGCGAGTGGGCTGCCGAGCATGTTCGGCTGACCGAAGGTTTAGAGAATTTCTGTGATAAGGGGGTGAGCTTAAAAGAAAGGTACTTTGGGATCTATTTGGAAATATGAATTCCCAGATATTCAGACACAACCTGGATATGAGATATAGGGGGTGATTTACTAACCTAAACACACGCACGCACTAGGTGCGTGTGATTTTTCACACAGCAAAATGTATTTATCAACCAAAAAGTCTCTAAAAGCATATTTCCACTAATGCCATATATGGAAAAATCATGCACATGATGCATATATAATGCTGCTTCACAGTTTAGAAAAAAATGGTTAGCTCATGCATTTACATTCCTGCATTCATCAACGCAAGCAACACAACATAGAGCTAATTTACACAACATCACCTTGCAATTCATGCAAGGCTTTGCACAACACACCTGCTGGGTGTGTACACACTACAAAGGTGTTTAGATTCCACCCATAGATCATGCTGGGAGGGAACACACTACAGAGGTGTATACATGTTCGTGGTGTGTTTATAAGGTTAGTAAATCAACCCCATAGAGTCTGGCAAAGGTTGCAGCAGCAGGCCTGTGGGTGGAAGGGTGGATTTATCCAAGTTGATCAGTAGGTGCCCAAACATCACAGTAGTGCCCAAACATCTAATGGCATTGGAGATAGAGTGATGTATATCATCTAAAAACAACATAGTGTCATCTGAATATAATAAAGGTAATCTAAAGTACCTTGCAAGGTCAGCCAGACAAACTTTGTAGCAGAGTTGGGGGACAGTGAGTCTACTTCTACCTAAAGGACTTGCAGTGACAGACCTCCTCCTCTGTCTGCCTACTTCCAGACTTAATGGCACTTACCTCCTTTACTAGAATATCGCTAAGGAAATATGTATATGGAAAAAACTGTCCTGTACTCTAATCTGCGAAGATGTGGAGTCGTTGATTTGGTTAAAGGAAGTTAGTTGGGATTGGATATGGGGGGGAGAGCTAATCATGAACAGCCAAAAAGTATTCATTTTCCAATTACCCTATGTCCTTCCAGTTTTCCCAGTGAGGTAATAGCGTCTGGAATTGGGTGGCTAGTAGCTGCATATTTATCAAGGTGCAAAAAAGTTATTAAAGAAGAACTCCTGGAAAATCGATGTATGTGAAGCAGCCATCAATAAAAGTAGGCCCCTGGCACTCTGCATTTTGGATGGGACTAATGAGTTTGGGTAAATGAATGTGAGCTGTGTCCTTTTCACAAACCTCAGAATTGTTTTATTAACCCTTGCTACACCCGCATTGCAAGTGTTAAGTGCTTGTTTGTGTCTAAATTAATTTACCCAAGGGAGGAAACAGTTATAATAGATTTAAAAAAAAAATACAGCAAGTTGAGATCCAACGGGTCCTGCAAAACAAAGTAAATAACATGAAGAAACAGTTTTCACACAGGAGAAGCATATGAGCAACATACCAAACAGTATCTGAGGCCTGTAGTAGAAGGCCAAGCATTCAAGCAGATGTAATGCAAAGATATTTTTCTTCCGCCACTCACAGGTACATCCAGAAAATAGCACTCCCAGATGATTAGTGATCATGGATAACAGGTCAAACATCCCTTATTAACCAAGTGGCGCTGATACATAAAACCGGCGGCGAATAGTTCCATATGTAAAGCATATTTGAAGCATCAGATGTGGATAGAAAGATTAGTAGCAGGAGGAGAACAGTTGCATGATAGTAGGGGATCAGCAGGTAATAGACCACCAGTGGTCCAGTGCGTAACCACTTAAGAGCTTGCCCAGCAGGTAGCAGAGAATTGGCAGCCTCCAGAGCACAGTTAGAGTTAGCTATTGTTTTAGACTGGATTATGCTAACAACACAGGACACCTTTAAAAATATGATATATTTTTAATATTTATATTTTGTATTCTAGATTTAGGAGCATTGCAAAGTCTTATTTTAGAAGAGCCGACGGAGTTCTCCTTCTTTACGATGTGACTTGTGAGAAGAGCTTCCTGAATGTGAGGGAATGGATAGATATGATAGAGGTACTCTAAAGAAGTTTACATTTATATTGAGAGCTATAAAAATAGGTTTTGTTTAGGCATGTTACACTTTTAGAAATATTGTCATACATGCAGAATCCTCTCATCTCTCTACTGTATTTTGACAGTGCTAGTTTATCAATACGTGCACATACAGTATGTCAGTTATTATAGGGTGCTGGATTCTGGCTTTTATTGACCATTATGTGCCAAGATGGCCAATGCTTAGTCCTCTTTTTTGAAAGTTGTTTTTCATTTACAAAATACTTACAGTTGATACAGGTAACAGTGCAAGTGACATCCGAGAACAATGAACATGATCGAAAAATAAAAAAAGGATGCAGGAATATACATTTAGAATGCATTGTGTTAGATTTGTTATAGGGTCGATGAGTCAACTATTGACAGTTATTATCATATTCGGAAACTTTACCCATTTAGTTTACTTTAGTCAGAGGAGATTTTATGTAACCTTGCTTACAACAACTGAACAAAAACCCAATTACAATGATACATAGTTATTTAGAAGGTGAGGTTGAATAAATACTCAGGTCTATCAGGTTCAACCTATATAGTGAGTGTGTGTGTGTGTGACCTCCCAGAAGTTTTGCTACTACTTTCACCCCATTAGAGGCCAAAATAATCTACCTATAGATGTAATTTGTTAAGGTTTCATATAATAACATAACAGAAGTCTCCATTGCTGTAGTGGCTATATTCAGGTCAGGGTGCATGCACCATTGATTATAAACCATTTGGGCCACCAAGTAATAAAGGTGCAAGTTCTACAAAGCCAACCCACTCTGGTTCGAGGGATTACAGAGGACCGTGAGAGACTATCCTGATATAGACTGACCCCACAGGTAGCAGGTTAATAGAGACTCTAGAGGCGCGGATATAAAAATTTTAGCAGACACATCATCTTAAAAAGATTAACTCTTCCAATAGTTTAAGTGGATGTTTTTGCCACTGTGGTATTCTATCCTCAGAGGAGTTGATCACTGGGTTGAGGTTATTAAGTAGGTAGTTGGAATGCGGGAGCTGAATTTTCACTCCCAGATATCTAAATTTAAACACTTGACTAAAATGGAACTCCAGGTTCTTGGAAAATGAACTCTTGCAGTGGGCTGGTTTTGCCTGGGGAGCGAAAATAAATAAGAAATACCCCAAATTCGGTCAACCTGTAGCTACTAGAGCAGCCCCACACCCTCTTCTGCCCCAGGCTCCGGTGGTCTAAGGATCCATGACATTATCACATCTAATACAGCCTAATAGATGTTAAGACACCAAGGGACATGCCACAGCTGGAGCGGAGGGGAAGAGAGGTGAGTGGTTACTGTTGCAGGACCGAGGATTGGGTGAGTATTTTTTCTTTATTTGCGCCTGAAGACCAAAACGAGCATTTAACCTTTGCAGTGCAGGGGTAGCCCCACTGCAAGGGTTAACTTTTTAAAATCCTGGACTTCTTTAAGATTGCAGCCAATGGGTAACATATGCATATCACCAATGGGCAATTTAACAGACTTCCCCCAAAATAAATTTAAACCCTGAAAAAAGCCAAAATAAGCTTTAGCAAGTTGGTCACTGAGAAGTTGAACAGGGTCTAGCTTGATCTCCTCCACAGTTGCCCCCCAGCATTATACTAATAAGAGTACACACTCTAATCAAATAGGAGGAGTATGTAGCATGGTGCATAGGAATAGTGGTCTTCAATGCTTAGCCCTTTAAAACAGACAGATTCTAGCTAAGAAATTGTTCTCCAGTTTAAAGTAGAGCTATAGCCAAATCTTTTTTTAGTTTTGGATAGAGTGAAGGGGGGTTATAACTTTTGACAGACTTTTTTTTGCCATCTGTGTCCCATTGGAGAGATTTACCATGACTTCCTGTCTGAAAGCCACACCAGGAAGTGAGAGAAAATCCCTCCAGAGTGAGGGCAGACCCTGGTGGTAAGTAGGTTTACCAGAACTAGTATAAAGATAGAGAAGACAAAATGTCCTCGCTATGGTATAAAATAAATCTAATAACGCCGTCGTGCTAACAGTATCAATGATTATACAGTGAAAGTTATAAATACAATATGGACCGCGCTAAGCACACCAAATCAATGAGTGATGATAAATCCATAACAGTGATAACAATAAAATAAATCAATGGATGAAATAAAATAAAATCATCCAATAGTGCAATATAAACTCATTTAATATATAGTCCACGAATAGTGCAAAAAAGTCCACTCAATAGATTTTAAATCATGAAAAAGTGCCAGTGTAATTGAGTCCAGTGAGACAAAACTATGCTCCACTCTCCCCAGTGACCACCAATCAATCACTGCACTCACCAGACTTCATTGACCAGAGTGAACCTTCATGAAAAAAGTTGTGATGATGAGGCCTGGTTCACACCTGTACGTTTTGTAGCGCGCTCAACGCTCTACGAACGCTCTACAAAACGCTCAAACATGAAAATCCCATTGTTTTCTATGGGTATGGTTCACACCTTGCCGTCTGAACGCGCTACAAAACGGCCTATGCCTGAAAAGTTTATATTGCACTATTGGATGATTTAATTGTATTCATTTTATTTCATCAATTGATTTATTTTAGTGGTATCACTGTTATTGATTTATCATCACTCAGTGATTTGGTGTACTTAGCGCAGTGCATATTGTATTTATATCATTACCTGAACTAGTGTCCCAATTGGAAGATTTCCCATCTATTCCTGTTCTGGTGACAACCCAAAATTTGTGATTTTCTTTCACTTTTAGTGATAATGCTCACCAGGAGAACTGGAGGGGTGAATCTCACTAACACGGATAAGGACAGCAATAAAACCGAGGTTGTAATCCTTCTCCACCCTATCCAAAACTTAAAAAAGTTGCACTTTAAGCTACTGAAAACCAGACCCTACAAACTGCAGTTAAATAAATATGCTAAATATTAGTAAACATCCTGCTACCTCTGTCTGTGACAGCCATTTTCACTGGTATTCGGATACTATAGATGTCCTTTTAGGATAACCTCATAATCATTGTGAATACCTCACAGTATCATGTCAAGTATATACATATATATCAAGTTATAGAAAGTTTCAGTGTTTAGGCATAGATTATGTATCTCAGAGATTATTTGTAGTATATAAAAGTAGCAAATGTCTTTTTTATATATATATATATATATATATTTGCATGTATTTGAGAAATTAGGGATGCACAACACTTTTTTTTTGGTAACGAGTACAAGTACCGATATTTTTTTTCGGTACTCGCTGCTACCGAATACTGATACTGGAAGCCCCAATAAGGAAGCTGGGCGGCGTGTAATGACTTGCCGCCCAGCTTCCTGATTAGCTGGGAAGCTGTTTCCATGCTCCCTTGTCACCAGATGAGGAGGGATCATGGAGCTGGCTTTCTGGCCACTCAGCTGGGGGCGGGTAATGACTCGCCATCTGGCTTCCTGATTGGCCAGCTTCTCGACCAATCAGGAAGCCGGGCAGGGAGTCATTACATGGCGCCCAGCTGCCTGATTGGCCGGGAAGCCGGCTCCATCACCAGGTGACGAGGGAGCATGGAGCCAGCTTTCTGGCCAATCAGGAAGCCGTGGGACAAGTTATTGCCGGCCCCCCGACTTCCTAATTGGCCGGGAAGCCAGCTATACGCTACCTGGTGATGAGGAAGCATGGAGACGGCTTCCCGGCCAATCAGGAAGCCGGGCAGTGTGCAATGACTCGCCGCCCGGCTTTCTGATACAGAAAGTTCCGGTATCGGGATAGGCATCTGGAGCATTACTAGTATCGGTATTGGTGCATCCCTAGTAAAAAATAATTTTATTTGTTTTAAAAATACTTTATATCATGGTTGTAATCAATATGTGTAAGGAATTATCCCAACATGTTTAAATATAAAGTGCATTTTGTAAGGTGTTTAGTGTGCAACATATAACAATATTTGTAATCATTCTGATTTCAGACAGTTGAGATTTGTGTATTTGCTGCCACAAACGTGTTAATTATGTTTATTTTGCAGGATGCAACAAATGACAGCATACCTATCATGATGGTGGGGAATAAGGCTGATCTCCGACAGGCACTGTCAGAGCAAGGGCATAAATGTGTACCGACCAGTTATGGAGAAAAATTATCCATGGTGAGTATCTTGATAAAACATATAAGACAAAGAATAGATGGCAGTGAATAGATAAAGGGACAGACTGAGGGGCATTTTTTTTAAAAAGTGCATTAACAGTTCTGGACTTTTTTAGGTTATGCTGTGTGAATGGGAGCATGTAACAATTTGCCTACAGAAGTGGAAATGCACTTTAAAGTGACACTAAACTCAGGAGTTAAATCTTAAAAATACATTCAAGTACCTTAACTATTAAGAAAATGTAACTTATTTGTGTATCACTCAGCTGCAGATCCTCAAATCATCTCTGAATTGGTGCTGACACTGTCCTTCCTTCTGGAGGGTGGCTACTTTTGTTCCACATGGTCCCTGGGTGTGTTGTAGAGTAGCCACCGCTCCAAACTTGCTCCTGTGATGGACTACAATCTCACATTTAGTTTACTCATTTGTATTAAGATTGTAGTCCATCATGGGAGCATATAAGGATGGCACCTAGCAAAAGCAGAAGTGCATTTCAGTGCCCCTCTGAGCAGCGGGTGACACCGCAGTTTAGATTAGTGTCCTAAGAGGTATGTTTTTCTTTTTCTGCATCATGTAAAAAAATTTTATTTACTACTTTTGGTCTGCCTGAAGAATTTTCACAACTCCCAACAGTGTAACACTAAGCTCCTAAACATGATGAACATGATGAGACTACTTTCTGCGGCCTGTTTTTGTGATCCATCAATGTCACACATTGACCCCCAAGTTCAGAGATTGACTGTGCCCATAAGCTGTCAAAAGCATGGAGGCAACCCTTGGGTAAATACATAATCTGTCCTGGGCTGGTTTGTTGTGTCCCTTAAGTGCACAGAGTACAGCCTGAAGCAATGCAGTGTTCTGGCAACTAGCTGTCTTCTGTCATTTGTTTCTTGGAGGGACAGATAGGGTATTTTTTCATGCAGCACTTCTTGCTCTTCCTTCTTTTCCTAAGGGCACTGCTGGCTGCTCTTGGATGTAGCAGACTTTTTTTCACCAGCATAGTCTCAATTGTTCAGGTTTGCCATAGCTTTAGTTTACAAAAATAACACTTACCACGTGCCAGCATACAGGGGTATAGCAGAGTTACAGTTCTGTGGCCACCTAATTCAGAGTTCAGATCTTGCTTTGCAATAACTAAATCTACTAGTCACTGTGCTGCCTCTAACAACAGTTTGTTTTTTTCCTTTTATCATACAGACCTACAATGCTTTGTTCTGTGAAACTAGTGCCAAAGAGGGCTCAAACATCGTAGAGGCTGTTCTTCATCTTGCACGGTATGTCTGTTGTTCACTAGGCCATGTTTACTTATATGAAATGCTTATAGGAGTTCCACAACAAAGTAATCCAAAACTCCCTCTAAAGAGTGCAGATTACAGGCTGGTAAATCTATAGTAGGAGGACTGCACGTGTGTTCATTTCTACTATGCTGGTACCATCCCACAAGCTCATTAGTATCATGCCAGTGTTTGTTTAGATTTGTGGAGCTACAGGCCAGTGTTTATGGGCATTGGACTCTTATGCATTTCGGGTACCTCAAATGAAGATGCAGCAATGTGGCGTGAGGGTTTAAGTGCAAAGTCGCCTGTACCCTGCCCTAGTGAAATGTTAAAGGACTTTACCAGGTCACTACTAAGTGATCAGTGTTGTGTTTATAAATTGCTATTTTAATATAAAAATATCTGACTTCCTCCATAATATCAAAAAGTTATTTTTTATTTTTAGCATTTATTGATGGGCACTGGGATTTAAAGACTGTTGGACTATATGTTGAGAAAGCACCTTCCCACTGCTGCTTTTGACTGCAAGTGACATGTGGATCCATCCTCAGTTTGTCTGCTGACCCAGGCACCTCAGGCCTCCTAAAACTCTCCTGCAGATGGTTTATCTTTCCACAAGGCCTAGCCTTGTACCCTACCTTATGGTGCAACATTGCCTTATGGTGCAACATCAGTACCTAGACAATCCTCTAATAGTTTCCAGTGCTGCCTGCAGTACTTACACCTGCAGGGCCTGGCACCGACAGCCTGGAAATTTGCACTCTTCTGGCTCTGTCAAGTGGGTCAATTTGCAACTTTGCTGACACTGACCACAGAGGTCATAAGTGGACTTCCATGACTTTAGCTGAACTGCCTGTGACATTAGTATGCTTTGAACCTTCACCCGTTGACAACTTGCGTGATGCTGAGTCTCTTAGCACCAATTTAAACCTTGTGAATCAGTCTGCAGCTTCTATCTGTACTGTCGCCAGCCTTGGATCCTTTAGGGGTCCTAAGACCGCCAAAACCTTTTCAGTGCACCCGCTTTTTCGCAGTAGGTCTTGGAGAACCCTGACAAGATGTTAACCCCTCTCATATGGCCCTGTGCTCATTTGAGGAGGCCTTTGTCAAAAAGTGGGCTGCCCCCACTCTAAGATTGGGCAGTATACTGTCTTAACAAAACTTTGGCAATCTCTGTGGAGGATGTACCTTTATTTAGGGACCTCATTGACTCACGATTGGAGGCCCTTTCAAAACCTTGTTTTCATTTTCAGACCCTGCTCTGCAACCTGTCCTGACTGAAAAACAGTTGGGATAAGGCCATAAGAAGGGATCTGTTTTTTTTCCAAAACAATCTCTTACTTACATTTTGAGCTCATGTTTGGTTGTTAGAAATAACCAATCTCATTCCTGTAAGAACATTCTGTCAGGAAACATTCAGATAATTCTGTGGTTAAGGTGTTACACTGCAGAATTGGCATGCAAAAAGTGACTGCTTTGCATGCCCCTTAAGGCACGGTTCACACCTGGGCGTTTTGTAGCGCGTTAGAACGCTCTGCAAAACGCACAAACACCGAAATCCCATTATTTCCTATGGGTATTGTTCACACCTGGGCGTATTACAGGCCGTATGAATGCGCTACAAAATGTCCTGCGCCCAAAGAAGTACAGGAGCTTCTTTGGGGCGTTTTTGTCGCGCGTTTCCATTGGGATACAGCCAAGTAGCGAATCGCGGTAAAAACGTGCGTCGCGAAACGCGCGACAAACGCGCATATTCAATACGCCTTGGTGTGAACCCAGCCTTAAGGACAACGCCTATTTGGAGCTGCGGTGGACACCGTTATTAACCACTTGCTGAACGGGGTGTTTACACCCCCCTTCCTGGCCAGGCCATTTTTCAGATTCAGCACTGCAGTACTTTGACTGACATTTATTCCGTCATGGAACACTGTACTGAAATGAATTTGATACCATTTTTTGGGGACATATAGAGCTTTCTTTTGGTGGTATTTAAGAACCACTGGGGTTTTTATTTGTTACTATATAATGCAAAAAGTAACAACATTTTTTTTTAAAAATGGTTTTCCCTTTATTATGTTAGAAAACATTTATTAGTACCCAATTTTTTGGTAAAATATAAAAGATGGGGTCACTTCGGGTAAATAGACACCAAACATGTGAAACCTGAAAATTGCGCTCGCGATAAATCTACCACACCCAAATTTAGCCATAGGCGATGCTTTTACCACTCATCAGTTTAGCGTTTACAGTGATTGTTGGCCCTAAAATTATTGCACTCACTGCAACGTTCACGATGATATGTAACAAGTGCGGCGTAATGGGTGCAATCATCGTTTTTGCGCGTAGGCGCACCTATTGCAATTTTAACACTTAACTTTATAGTTATCACATAGGGGGCTAAGAAGCTGCCAGAAGGCTCCCGTCCGGCCGTTTCTGAACGATTGACGGACGGGGGTGGTTAAGGATGTCACTGGGGCAAAAGTACCCATCTGCCCCAGCAGAAGAAGCCTAGGGCTCAACTTGGAAATGCTCATACCTCCTCAGAAACCAATAAGAGTTCCATTTGTTACTCCCAGGCTTCAACTTCAAAAGCCAACCCAAACCTTGTCCCCAGTCTGGATGGCTCACAAACCCTATACTTTTAAGGCTCTCAAACCTTCAGATAAATCTTCTTCAGCATGAGGGCATATCTGTTAGCGTTGCAGACATTTGGTCAGCAAGTATATTGTGTATGGGAGAGGATTTCCAGAGGCTACAAGCTAGAATTCCACTCTCAGCCCTCCTCCTTGGTTCATGTCTTCCAACCTGCCTGTGTTACTGCACAGATTAGGAGATCTCCATACAAATATTCAGGAGCACGGTGTCATTGCCCCAGTACCTGTTGTGGTATATAGTTTCAAGGATTTTACTCCAACCTTTTCACAGTGCTCTAACTAAAAGGGGTCAGCTGCCCCATATTGGATCTTAAGGCCCTAAATGTCTTCATTCGGGCCCAAAAATTCTGCATGGAATAAGCCAGGTCAGTCTCTTTCAATCTGGCTTCCATGCACATTAAGGATGCATACTTGAGTGTCCAAAATTTTCCAGCACATCAGCGATTCCTTCCCTTTGCTGTGGGTCCTCAACATTTTCAGTTTGTGTTTTTGCCAATCAGCCTATGCTCCGCACCTCACATAGTTGCTGGCCTCTGCACAAGCATATTGTGTGCTCCCAGGGCATCTTCATTGTGTGATATTTTGATGACGTTTTACTACATTCTACTCTAAATCACTGATTCCCACAATGCCAATGGCTATGAATTCTGCTTTTCATAAGGTCTATCATCATGCATGAATGGCAATCCTTGCCTTTCTGCGAATGAGCCTGGATTAGTATTTGGCCCTGAGTAACATTAAGGGTCAGATCTCAGCACTTGTGATCTTGTTTCAAAGACTGCTAGGTTCCCATTCATTAGTACTTTTGTACAGGGTGTCTCTCCTGTGGCTCCCCCAGGGCGATCCACAGTGATTCTGTTGGATATGAAGTTTGTTCTCTCAAAAGTTTGTTCTTTCTTTCTTGAGCCTATCAGTGATACTCCTCTTTCTGCTCCCACCCACAGGGATGCTTTCCTTGTTGCTATCACCTTTGCGAGTTGAGTGTCTGAACTGACAGCTTTGCCCTGTAAAGAACGCTTTCCCTTGTCTTGCACAGGGACAAGGTGGTGTTGAGGTTCAGAACCTCCTTCCTTGTTGTTTTGGCCATTTAGCTCAATCATGACAATATTCTGTCATCCCATTGTCTGTTTCTAGTTCAACAGAAGGAGATTTCCCTCAATTGTATATATGTAGTTTGTACTGTGTGAGTCTACCTCGCAGTTACTGCTTCCATTAGAAAGACTGACTCTCCCTTTGTCATTCCTGTTGCGCTACGTAAAGGGGAAAATGCTTCTTGTTCCACCATTTATCAGGAACTCAGGCAGACAGTTCTGTTGTTTTTTGGGCCGGTTAGTATTTTGTTGCTGTTGCCTACCTCTCAGTTGGACTGCTTCTGGATGTCCCAACAGTCTTTGTATCCCTCAATGAATGCTAAATAAAATGGGATTTTTTTTAACTTACCTTAAAATCCATTTCCTGTAGTTCATTGAGGCACACGGGTCCTACCCTTCCGTGTCTATATTCATGCTCCTGGCACTGCTTTTCTACTAAACTGAGGCATGCTTGGAGTAGGAGGGTTAAATCAGTTTTTTGCAATTGTCTGAATCCTCCTGTAGGTGGCAGCATAACCTGACAGTCTTTTCATTCCTGTGTCCTTCAATGAACTACAAAAAATATTTTTTTACGTACAAAAATCCAATTTTTTATTTTAACTGAAATATTTCAAATCACTTGTTGCTGCTATTTGTGCTTTCATTTGAGGCCTTCTATAAATGTAAATTCATTCTAAAGTTTGCATTTTAATCAAGACATGAGAAGGGGGATATTCTGGGACTGTATGTCTTCTAGATTTACGAATGTTACTCAAACTTTTTTTGTGAACTTTCTTTGCTCAGGGAAGTGAGGAAAAGGTGTGATAATGAAGATGACAGAGGATCTGTAACTAATCTTTCTGGGGCCATAACCAAAAAACCAACACAAATGAAAAACTGTTGTAATGTCTAAACTGTTGTTTCACAAACCTACTGGGATGTAATTATACAATGGTATTTTTAATAAGTTGTATTTTCAATTAATATGAAGGAATTGTACATAAGTGTTACTTTTTGTGGCATGTTGTAGCATATGTTTTTCCTTTTTTTAATTCAACTTAAGTTCATGTATAAAACCAAGAGGAAAGAAAAGAGTCGGTTTACAATAGCAAGCATTCAAATTTTTATGTTCTCTGGCTACGATCTGTTTGGTTACTCTGGGTAATGTGGATATTTACTTTTCCTCTTAGTTTTATACATCAGCTCTGCTTTTGTTAGCACCTGCTTTGTGCATTGTTATTTATAATAAAATACATATGTAAATTTAAAAATAGTGTGCATTTGTATATCAGTCAGAACTATATTAACCTACTTTACTTCGGTTTTAGTATTGAGAATGTTTTTCATGTTTTGAATGCAACCCCCAACTGTGAGAACTAATAGCTTTATGAGAGAACATACACCTGAGCTTTCCATTTCCCATGTGGCACTGGCCATGCCTGCTGATTGGTTACCAAAGTAACAGTTATTGCACTGTGGGATGGGGAGGGGGGGGGGATGTCTATTATCCCATATTAAAAGGTGGATAGCACTTTAGGGAAAGGGCTCTGGAAGCATAAATGGTAAAATTAAAACCTTTGTGGTTGCTTCTGGTACAGCTATCTGTTTATATGGTTCGGTTTCTTCACGGGTTTGTATTCAGCCCTTTGTGAATATCTTTGTATCTGTGTCTCAGTTATGCAATTGCTCTTATACATAATTTATTAAACTGTTTAGCCACCACCTATTTGCCTATATATGTATTTTTGATTAGTCACAGATATCCCCATACAGGTAACAGTAATGTGTATCGTTATAAAGGATATATGTTTTCTAAATAAATAATTTGTGGAAAACAACTTCTTAGACCTTATTTGCACTATGAATTTTACACAAAACTTTCCGCGGATTCAGGGTTTGCAGGAAATAATTGCAACGTAATAAGTGATAATGAGCACTTCTGTGCAGTGATGTATGTGTTGCAGAAATTTTAAAGTATCGTTCAAAATCTCTGTACAATTTGTTTGGCAAAATAAATCTCATGAGGAGAACTGTTCTGATCCACGGATTGAACTTGTGGCCTCAGGAATTCCAGTCAGAATGCTAATGTTTTGTCTTTTATAGCATCTTCATGCCATCCTTAAGCTCAGGTGCAGCTTTTTAAGGTGTGTGTATCACATCGTTTTTACAACCAGGGAGAATGATCCAATCTGGTCAAAGCATCCCAAAATTGTAGAGCTGAAAAAATGTACACATTCACTTTGCTATTTTTCTAAAAATAATAATAATCAAAACTGGGGAAAAGGTGTTTTCTTTAAATGTTTTCCTAATTTCTTTTATACTTTATTCATCCTAAGCGAGGCGTTAGGCACACATATGTAATATAAATATATAGCCCTATCTGTCCTCTAAAAAACGCTATATAATATGTGTGGGTGCACTAGTAAGAAAGTATATTAATGACGTGGAAGAATCACACAGCAAAAATGTAAAAAGTGCTTCAGTCATTAACGAACAGAAACTAAAAACAAGCTCAGTCATGAAGGAGTTAAATAAAAACCCTAGGCATGTACAAAATTAACTCTTGCAGTGGGGCTTGCCCAGGGCTGCAAGGATTAAGTGCATGTTTTGGTCTAGGGCAGTGGTGGCGAACCTTGGCACTCCAGCTGTTTTGGAACTACAAGTCCCATTAGGCATTGCAAGGCTCTTACAGCCACAGACATAACTCCCATAGGCAGGTGCATGTTGGGATTTGTAGTTTTGGAACAGCTGGAGTGCGAAGGTTCGCCACCACTGGTCTAGGGTATAAAATATAAAAGATACTCACCTGATCCTTGGCCCCGCAATGGTGACTGCTCTCCTTTCCCCCCCTCCACTGCGGCAGTGAAATTTCCCTATGCATCCTTACGTCCAATGCAGGTGAATGGATATTATGATGTCACAGGGCATGCTCTAGCAGCCAGGCAGGATCAAGGAGTGTATGTAGGATTGATGACTATATTTTTATTTTATTTTAGACCCTAGTCCAAAACAAGTACTTAACCTAACTTAACTTGCATCATCATCATTGGTATTATTTAAGAGATATTACCAGTCCAATTAGACCCAGTGCTGTTCTATGGCCATTAGTCATTTGATGAGCCTTTATATTTTACACTACTATAATAAGGTGTTTGGTAATAGAATGAGGCACTGGGGGTTGGTTCTTAAGGTTTACTTAGTGTTGTGGTTTAGAACAGAATGAATGTTGAAAAAAATTAGATGAAAATTAACTCATAAAAGAAAACCTGTCACATATTGTAGTAATTTAAACTATGCATAAGCTGACAAAGTGAAAACTTTCAAAACAATCACTTGGTCAAAGAAAGAGGAAGCTGAAGTTGTATGCAAGTCATAACTTTTCCTGAAAAATTGAGCTCTCCACCCATCCTGCCTCCTGAACATCCTTATTTATCACTGAGGCCATCCATCATATTGCAAGACAATAGCTAATCTTGGATGAAGAAGAGAGCAGGCTTGACTTTTACAGTAGTATATACAATATATATATATCCTAAAGTGTATAGATACACTTAAACAATTCGATTATTAGCTCTGTTGGTCTTTTAAATGTACCACTGAAAGCGTTTTGGTATATCTGTTAAATTTGTGCAAAAAGTACATGTTGTTCCTGCCAGAAATCAAAGCTGTTCTGTGTCCTAGGCACGCTGTAACGTTATTTCAGGTATTATTATCTGCCATGCCTAGACCGAGAGGCCGACAGTGTCAGGAGAGAGGAGGGGACCCGGCGGCATACCTCATCCCGCCGGGTGAACGTCTCCTCCTCTCTCTGCCGGCGTCAATCACCAAAATGGCAGCGCGTGTGCAATGACGTCATCGTGCATACGCGTGGTGAAGTCACGCACACGCGCAATGACGTCATTGCAGGGTGTCACCCGGAAACCGCTCTGTGTGACACCCGGCCTCAAAATGCCCCTGGTCCCATTAACACCTTTAGACATAAATCTTTTGATCATCAGATAACAAAAACCTTTTTGCACATGTGTATCACATTTCAAATGGAGATTTATATACTTTTTTAGGACAGACAGCAACAATAAAGTTTCAAAACCAAAAGTAAAGTGCAGCAGTAGATACAAATACACAATTATCAGAGCTTAACTGTGTTAAAAAGAAAATATACCTGCTCATGCACGAAAGTTATAGTATACCATTACCCAGTTCTTAAAAAGTCAAGAAACTTACATTTATTTCTCAGTGTGCTGCTTTGATATTGCAGTATCCTACACAGGTCTTGGTGACTGCAAAACACAGAAGAGTATAAAAGTGTACAGCCCATCAAAAAAACACAAGTTCAAGAGAGAATAGAGCTCAGCAAAGAATACATTTTGTAGTCTAAAAAGTGATCTCTTCTACAAACTATTGAAGCTGAAACACTTTTTACAGGGTTTTTGATTGCATGTAACCTACCCCTGGTTGCATCTGACCATGCAGGAAAACTGTTCAGAAGAATGTGCAAAGACTCAAAGTGTATCTAAAACAACATTTTAATATAATGTAGCTCATTAATCCTTTAACGTGGTTGCTGCATTGATTTTTTCCCCCCTTTATTTTCCTGGTTATCCGGCCAGCAACACACTTCCTGTTGTACGTTGGCATCACTCTATAATGGAGGAACATAGCCACCGTTAGACTGCAGCATTGCCAATTGGTGGAGAGGGCAGTGTTGCATGCATTAGCTAATTTACATAAACTTGACAATGTAATAATTCTAGTGAATGCTGGATGGAATTATCAAATAACTGTAACTATTGCTACTACGGAGAGCTCTGTGTTAGCAGCGGTTATATTTATTTTCTAATTCCCTCCAGTGTTCTCTAGAATTGTTACATTGTACCTCTTGTTATAAAGATGTATTTATTTCTTATGATCCTCAGCAATATCTAGTGGCAAGAATGCAGTATTTTAACAATTTACTCTATGTTCCTAATAAATTGACTTATTTTTACCACTGCCTATAATATTTAAAGAACATTAAACCAGAAGAGAAAATAGCCTAAGAACTATAACTTTTCCCCATTCTTACCACAGCCGGTTAATTCAGACAGATCCAATGTTCATGCAGTTTCTCTGGACTAATAGCTATGCAATTCTTATTAAAAATAGATCCCCTTGTGTCTGGATGGAATCCTTAATGTTTGCAGTGAAAAACTCTTAGCTTTGTTAGTTTGGTTTCTTGAACCCTCTTGTGCCAATTACAACTTGCAATTTTGGAGATTCTGATCTGCACAGAAGACAGTCCTGCAAATGGTATCTTTCCTCTTGTGGTTGTTTTTTTCAGCAAATCTAGAATTCCTTTAAGATATTGTTGGGCTTGTCAGTAGACAATGCAAGTGTTAATATGGTAAGAGTTAATGGCCTACAGAAGTTGGTGAGTAGGAGGGGCCCAGCAGACTATCCACTACAGGTTGCCTGCAAAAAACTACAGGAGGGGGTGGATGCAAGACCAGTGACCTAAGAGAGCAGAAGTTGCTGGTCTTTATTATATGACACGTGAAGGTGTGCAGCGCTAGGTCTATGTGTATCAAAGACTAGTTTTCAAACACATCAACTTCCAAAACACCTACACCACTAAAATTAACCCCCAAAGCCCCTGGGCTATTCAGTAATCTAGGTTAGTGATCATAAACATATATATTACCCTTTGGTAGGGAGTTGTGACCATTAATTAAACCGATGTGAGAAACCTTCTTGATTAGTAACACATGAAGTCATCCTAAGGTGAAAATCATCTCCAAAGTGATTTACGGTGTAATATTAAACAATGCAGTGATAATAGTACTCTACCAAAACAAGGCAAATGAAAAAAACAAAAACAAAATGTGGACACTTCATATATTTAGTGTTTCATAGATCTGATATTTCTGTTCCAAAAACAGATCAAGTGAATATAAATCGTTAACTCTTAGTCTTCCCCAGTGTAAAAATGGCAATAATAGATGTAGAATCTAGATGGGATCTTAGACGCAAATAGTCATTATACATCCAAAAATCGAGAAAGCAGTTCATTTTCCTTATCTGCCTGCTGATGACATTTTCCTCAGGGACGTGGAAAAAAAAGAGGTTCTATGTTATGCTATCTCCAATTTATC